GTGAAGCTTGATAATTATTTGCGGGAAAAACTGCAGGAACGTTTAGGAAGTTCATAGAACTTTACCGGTCTCAAGACATATAGTGCATTTGAATTATATTGTGAACATGTTTAAGAAGTTCAAAGTACCTCCGAAAAGCTAAATCTGCAGTGTGGAATTTTGTAGATTGGACCGTTCCCTGACCCTTAGTCCAAATTTTGACGTAGGACTACGTCTATGATTTCTATATGGGGGTACACTTTGTGAAAACCGAAAATGGAACATGTAACAAAAAAAAATATTTTGAACTACAATAACTCAGCTGCCCCTGGACTAATTTCAATAATTTTATCACCAATCGATCAGATATATTTCTACACATCTGTTAAATTTAAGACTTCATCATTTTTTTTTAGTGTCACTATTGAAAATTGCACGAATGTGCAACTGTTGCTTGGATAGTTAAAATTATCACTGATTTCCTGCGAAAAGCGATTTCCCTAACACAGATTTCAAAGTTGAATTCTATACGGTCGCACCAAACGGTGTTTATTCAATCACCGCGTGGTGGTTGAAGTACACAACGAAAGGCTACCTGCAAGCTGCTAGGTGTAGCCCACATGACTATCCATAGAAGGAGGAAGAAGCCGCACAGCTATTGATTGGAATCAGTAGCTCTTCGTGAGTCGCTGTGGGCCATCTATGTCAAGTGCGTCATACTAAAGAGTGTAAACAGAGCGAACACTGCTCAGATTCCTATTCCTACACAAAACATAAGCTCCTGCTGCAGTTAACAAATAAGATTTATTATATAAGACCACGTAGGCCTACGCCACCATTGCGTACAACCCTATAGGGCTGTCCCTTGTAGTTTTTAAAGTTGTCTATAAGATCTATTAGAGTGAGTTTAGAAAAATTCAGGATAATTGATGTGGTAAATAAGAAATCGAGGACCCTTAAGATGTTCCTAAAATTTCATAGAAGTACAGAGAGCTTAAGAGAATTTATGAAAACTTAAAGGAAGTTTAAAGGTGTTTACGAGAATTCCATGTATTTCAGAGCAGAACCAACAATTTTAAGGTGATTCCTTGTAGAGTCTACAAATGGCCGCCACAAAGGTTATATGTACATGCACTTCCACTTAAAATTTTCAATTACACCAATCTCGGAAATCGGTGCCTATTTCACCTAAAATTTCTATTCCAGTAAAGCAAACGTAAAGTAGCAATGAGAATAAGGATATCACCTCAGTGATTTACCTTAATAGAATTGACAGCTTAAGGGAAGAATCAAAGGACAGGAATTCGGAGTTGCCGGAAAAAAAAACCGGGAAAAATCCGGGAAAACTCAAATCGCATCGGGAAAGACCATATAAGTAACAAATTTGGGTTTATCATATTCTTGTAGGCCATAATTTAGTCTTGAAGAATTATTTAAACCTTTATAAAACTTGCAATGTTACATGATCAATCAATTTTATATCATATACATAATTATACTCTTTTGTTTACAACACTGTGTTAAAGTATCAAAAATCCCCAAAATTACAAAAACTCTTTTCTTTTCTTTCACTCACAATCTGTTGGCGCACGGAGCAAACGGTGAGTTTTCCGTTGTTCCTACCACCATAGCTTAGAGAGTATTTTTTTTAGATTTTTTGTTGGTGTCATTTAAAGAATTTTGAATTCTTTTGCTGCAATTTTCCGAGTGAAGAATTTTTAGTATAAAGCCTGAGCGAGACATATCTTGTTACGAAGCTACTTGAATATATGAAGTAGATTCATGCCGATAAATAAAACCTTGATTAGTCTTTAAAACATAAAAATCTGACTCCATACCTCTCACGCCAAAGACAAAGTACTTAATTATCTGAGAGATAATTTGTCCAGCTCAAACCTTTCTAGGGAGTAATCATCATTTTCATGAGTTCAAATTTAAGTCACAAATGATCCAAGAGTGTTAAAGTTACTATAATAAAAAACAATACAGATCTAAACTTGCACGCATTTTGGAAAACCAAATAATCCAAATCAATTATTTTATGGAGCTTCACGAAGGTTTACCATAGAATGGTAAATTAAGAATTAAGTAGAATTATCGTATGCCTTGTTGAGTCTGCAGAGCTTCAAGAACAGATATCCGGGATGATTTTGATAATCGAACAATGTTATTTTTAAACATAATTCTAGATAGAGCTGGAATTAGGGCCTAACAGCTTTTGTAAACAATGACTTCTGTCGATGATTTCTAGAAAGTCAAAGATCTCCCACGCAAATCAACATCGCCATCAGGTAGGGAAGTCTTCCCCTACCCGATGGTTATATTGGTTTGAGTGGGCGTGCTTTGAATTCCTGGAAACCATCGAGAGAAGTCATTGTTTACAAAAGCTGTTACGCCCTAATTCCAGCTCTATCTAGAATTGATAATTTTAAATTATGTCATGAACGGAGACTCAAAATGCTCAAAAGTGAAAATCGGACAAGATTTTTTTTTGACTAATAGATCTTTAAGATGTAAACTCCAGGAAGATTAAAAAATACTGCGTTTCTCCTATACCTGTACCATTAATATATGATTTTTCCAACATAACAAAACAACATTTAGGCTCATTTTTTGCGAGACTCTTTGATTTTATACGAATTCATGATTTCATGAGATTTTGGAGATCTAGATCATCAACATAGTAGTGCAAATCTCATCTCATATTTTTTCTACAAAGAGAGTTTTTGCTGACAAAAATATATGATTATCTATAAACGGTTAATTTTGAACGTCTTTTTTGCATAAGGCAGAAGTGATTTTTGGGTTGTTTTTTTTTAATAACCGGGAAAAACCAGGAATTGAAAATTTTTATTTGAATGGACACCCTGTATGCTCAACATTTCTTGTCAATCCCTCACAGAAACTCCTTGAAACTTCCTCAAAATTCTTATAAATTATCTAAGGAACTCTCTCTTGAAACTATTAAACATTTGCAAATATAGTTGAAGATGCTAATTTCAAATAACAGACTGTAGTGGTAATTTTTATACGATAGATGGAGTAGATGAAAGCATAGAGTTGATAGTTCCGTTAGAGTACGGCAGTGTGAAGATTGTATATAGATATTAGACAAGCGAGCTAGGACAACTTTTAAGGAAGGTACAAATCGGATTTTTCAACTCTCTTTACCAAACTCCCCCTTTGGAGAGGGATGGTGAGGGGTGTCCCCTCCCCCGCCACCACTGGCAAAAAGAGATGAAGACCGACCCGCTCATGTACCAACTGTGTGTTTGAAACAGTTCTACCGATTTTTTACCGCACTTCAGTTGTTATTTGAAGGAAGGCATCCAGTCGTAGGTTTGGTAATTGCAACTATTGTTTACCCCTACCACGATATGTGCTCCTGTCATCGTCGACTTGACGATCTCGAGGGGACACGGCCTTCCTTCAAATAACAACTGAAGTGCGGTAAAAATCGGTAGAACTGTTTCAAACACACAGTTGGTACATGAGCGGGTCGGTCTTCATCTCTTTTTGCCAGTGGTGGCGGGGGGGGGGACACCCCTCACCATCCCTCTCCAAAGGGGGAGTTTGGTAAAGAGAGATGAAAAAACCGATTTGTACCTTCCTTAAAAGTTGTCCTAGCTCGCTTGTCTAATATCTATATACAATCTTCACACTGCCGTACTCTAACGGAACTATCAACTCTATGCTTTCATCTACTCCATCTATCGTATAAAAATTACCACTATAGTCTGTTATTTGAAATTAGCATCTTCAACTATGTAAATCGTTGACTTCACGTAGAAGTAATACTAAAAACATATAGTCAAAGTATTTGCAAATAATTTGTTGAGATATTTTAAGAATTAGATTTCTAAGGAATTATTATAAATATTTTAGGGTTGTAGTCAAATTTGCCGAAGGGTTAATTCATTTTGATGGAAAGAGGCTCCGTCATATTGATTTGTTTTTGAGTTATCTGAAATTATAATCATAATCCTCATAAAGACTCTTCAGAACTACCTTAAAACTAATGTACCTTACTTCTCCTTGCAATTTTCATGAGAAACTTCTCAAAATTACCTGAAATTTTTAGTTAAATTTCTTTGGAATTCATCCTACAGTTCATGTGAAATTGTTTCCCAGGGCCACGGTATTTTTTTTAATCAGAGGTTTTGAAATTAGCAATAGTAAACAATCTAGCAAAGTTCAAGATAGTAAAAAACTACCCTCCCCACATATTCTTAATAATTTTTAAATGCAATCATTGAACAAAATTGAGGTTTGAGAATTAAAATGTTCGTAGATCTATTTGTTTTCCAAAAGAATGTCCATGCTCAATCTATCAATTCGGCCTAATGTCATGTCATGTAACTAGATACATTTTTAAATTCTAATATATTTTTTAACTTGTTTCGAACTTCAAATTATGCAGCATAAATTTTCAAAATTCTGATAATTTATTTATATTGTGTGTGTGTATTTTCTCCAATTTTCCTTTTAAATTAAAATTTCGTAACTATTTTTTTTATCAGTGTCAAGAATTGCTGAAATTAATCATGGCGCTATTCCTTTTCTACCACATTTAGCTATTTATATGAAATCGGAAAAAGTATGTTAAGCACCCAAAAAACCCCGGAATAATTTAATTTCTTAAATAAGGCAGGAACAAATCGACGTAGGCAAACAAGAAAGGCAAAAAAGAAGGTAAGTATTGCTGTAGTTCTACTACAAAGCGGTAACTTCTTCTACCCGGTGTCAACGATAGATTATGTGCAACATGTGGGCCATTTCAGTATCTTCAAACCTATTGAAGCGACGTACAACATCTCTAACCCAATGACAAACTGTCCAAATCAGAATTAGTTCTCTATTTTCTCAGAAGCAGAAAAAAGCTCATCGCTACATCAAATTCAATTGCTGGAACGATTTGTTGTGATCGTCGACTGATAGCTATTATTCCTTCTAGATGTACATTTACAAGTTTTTCCCACGTGCTTATCACTAACACGTTTTTCCTTTCGTTCTACTTGCAGGAAGTCGGAAGTATAATTGGCAAAAAAGGAGAAATTGTCAAACGATTCAGGGAAGAGGTAAGTTTGCGACATTTTTTTTTTTTTTTTTTTCTCTTTTTGCAACGACAGCAAGCACGTAGAGGCCAGACCGGCACGGAATGTCACTTCTTGGCTTTCCTGTCTGCCTTCCTGATGTTGTATGTACATTAGGGTGGGCCAATTTTACAACCCCCTGCTTTTCTACTGCTCTTTCGATCTGTTGTTGTGCCAAATTTGAACGATTTATGTCTACGATCTGGATTTGCTGGAGAACTTTAAAGTTTGTGCACGGACGGTCAGACCGACTAAATTTCGTCAAAAGTGAGTTGAATTTTCCGGGCCTTTCCAGGAAAAACTTCCCAAATATGAGGAAAATCCATTACAATTTTACTCAGTCTATCTCAGTGAATCCACTATCGATTTTCCTCAAACTCGAGAAGTTTTTTTCATGGAAAGCTCGAAAAATTCAACTCACTTTTGAATAAATCTACTTATGACAAAATTGTTTCAAGTTTAGAAAACGCATCAAACATTGGTAATTTTTTACCAAATCTGATTCTTCGATTGGATAAACTATGCAGAACAACTTTGTTGAAGATCGCAAATTGATTCGACTTCTATGTTACTAACCTTTTAGCATTCGACTTCTATGTTACTATTGCTTGACCAAGTGCTCCGCGCATGCTTACAAGCTTAGATATACGCTTGCAGGTATGTGCGGAGCACAAGGCCTGTAGTAAAACAAATTCACTAAGTCGCTTTTTACGCGATTTTTCGGTCTTACGCGGATTTTGAATTTAGGCGGTTTTCGTATTTTATTCAAAATTGAGCTATTTTTGAATTTTTGACAAGCAAATTGCGACCCCGTTGCTTATACATTTTTCATACAAACTTAAAGTTCTCTCATGTAAAAAATATTCGGCTCCGCAAAGCTAACGCATTTGAGCCTTGACAAATAAATGGATTATAAAAAAAAAACATAGTTAAAATTTGGCAACAAATGTTCGGGACCTCAATAAAAATCGAAAGAGCAGTTGTCATCAAAAAGTCGTGATTCGCCACACAAACTTGACCCACCCTAATATACATGTTGTGACCCTCTATTTGCCAAGCTGTATCGTCTTCTTGTTTGCAATCATGTTCTGTTTAGACAACTTCCTACTTAAAAAAAAGTTTCTTCCTTCAAATCCACCTCCAACCGGTTGCACCAGCCCTATCCCATTGTATACATGAAAATGTTCAACCATCGACAAAGGAAGAACAGTAAAACTACCCGTATCGTTCCGGTTCTCACGTTCAGCAAATTCTTGCGCGAGATCGCTTTTCTTCCTTCACACTTCCACCTCTCATTTCTAGCTAGTTTTAATCATATTTCGAATGAGCACCCACAGAGTGTATTGATTGGCACGAGGCAACTGCCATTGTTGCAGATCATCATGTGTTTCGTTTCGCTGTTAGTGCTCTCGCTTGTGTGTGTGTGTGTGTGTCTAAGAAGACCTGCTGATAGGTATGGAACTGTCATTCTTTGAAGTGTTTTCGACTACATCAGACAGATATTGGAACAACTCTAGCGCATAAACTTTCCGTTTTTCTGATTCCGGTTGGGGGAAAACCATGTGAAACGACAGGTATACGGAAACGAGATCCGTGTGGTTCACTCTGCCACGATTCAGTAGTTTTCCAAAACCATGTCAAAGAAATACTGAACCGGTGTGATTGATGATTCTGGTGAGCGATGATGAGTGTTCGCTCCTGTACGGTGTATGTGCGTAGGTGGCAGTGTGATGATGCGATTCAAAATAGTTACCGTTAGCGGAGAAAAACATGGTAGAAAGTGTTTGGTTTCCGAGGAGGAAAGTGGTCATTTTTTTTTGTGTTTCGAGAATATCGATTGCATTGCATATGAAATATAGAGCGCGTGGAAAAGTCCGACGCTTAGAGCTAATGAATGAGTTTAGTTTGTATTGCGCCACGTTAGAAATTGTTTGAATGGAAACTGATGTACTATCGTGAGTAAACAATTTGAAGCAATCGGCACTGACTGCCATATGTCTTGAACAAAACCATTTCACTCATTTCCTCTAAATTTTCCAAAAAATCGTGAAGGGTTTTTTTTGCAACGCATTAGATTTTTAATTGCGCTATTCTTTCAATTTCCAATAGTTGATGTCAGGGTGTCGACTAACTGAAAAATCCTGGAAAATCAGGGAATTCATTTTCAGATCTGGAAAATCAGGGTATCTCAGGGAATATCATTCAAATTCAAAGATTTTTTTCTCAACCATAACATATGAATTAAAGTATGACTGACCTCGCTAGTTTCATACAATTTAATGAGAGTAAAGTAGAGCAAGAGTACGCACTTATTTTTAAAAGTCAGTTTTTTTCACCATAACAATATATTTTATTTTATAATCATGAGTCAATTCCTTGACTATTTTGCCACAATCTGCACTTTACTCTACCCGGTGTAGCTTGAGGATGGTTATGAATTTCAACGGTTACATAAATATACTTCCACTGAGTTTTGACACATCTCTGAGTTGAACTGGAATCGAGGGGTTGTTGTAAAGTAATTTCAATCTTTTAGTAGACGCTAGACGTTGTTGGTTGTGACAAAATGTAACCTCCTACTCACCTAGGCTAGTGTGTTTTTATGAGCAGTTGCTGTACCTAATCGAGACTGTCATAATTTAACATCCAAGTAGATTGGTGCGTCTCTTGATGGATGCGGAATTTAGTTGTGTCCAACAAACATCAATCCTTTGTCGTGTAAACTACGCAATTGGTATGAATTTAGAATAATGGTCTTGTTTAGAGTTACACGGTTATGATTAAATTATGATTCAAAGATACGTAGACAAGCAAGGCAGTCAAGGTGCCTAGAATGGCAGTATTGAGTATTCTAGATCTTTAAATGCTTAAAAGCCTCGTTACGCCTGAAAAGCAGCTTCCCAGTAAATGTTTGCATTGTGATGATTCTTGGATTTAATTAAGTTTTATAATGGACGAGTTTCAACTTTTAAGAGCTGCTCCGATAGAATCGAAATTCATTCGTCAGAGAACTTATGTTAAACAATCGTTACAAATTGAGAGTAGAAGAGGAAGGGAATGTAGAGAATAAGTGGATCAGTATTAAAATACTAATAATTTGTTATGTGACAGCGGTTGTCCGAAAAGACAAGATAAGCGTACCTTCCCTCGATGTCGATCACGGTTTCAACGAATTGGGTAGACTCTATTGTTTCTGTGGACATTGTTCGTTATTTACAACTCGGCAGTTTATCTTGATATTTCCGTTTGAACCAAAAATGTGGTGATAAGTGTTGAAATTATGGATACACTTTGCTAACATATTCTGATTACAAGTGCGAGGCTCACCTGGGCCGAAATTTTCAGTTTTGTGAATGCTGATTGCTGATGAGATGGAAGTAACTTGCAAGATATTTGAGATTAAAGTGCTTTTAATAAAGTTCAAACCGAAAAAAAAAACATATGCTATGGGATGTTCAATACATGTTGAGTGTACACACTTTAAAATGATTGTCGAGCTCGGCAAGAAAAAATACTGATTCAAAACAGCAGCAAATTTCAATAATAAAAAGTTAATCAAAAAAATCTGAGCACATCAACAAACACAGATAATATTGAAATCAGCTAATTAATTTACTCGGTATTTGTTCCATACATTACTGATTTACAGCAAAGGAACTGTAACTTATTTAAATCGCGATATTCTTGTTCAGAATTGAAAATAAAATAAAAACAAATCATGTGAATCGAGTGACATTGAAGTCGTGATTTTTTCACAAATAAGGTCTGTACCGACTATACAATGAAGAACGATAAGGATGAACAGGAAATCAGTCCTCTTCATAGGGCTAACAATTTAAGATCCAGAGTGTTCCATTTCTTATATGAAAATAACTTATGCTTTCAGTTTACATATAGTGAATAAGACGAGTTCCGTGTCACCGTTTCTAAAATCGCGTGCTTGTCATCTAACAAGTTGTTTTACGGGTTTTTCGCAGCTGCGATTTCAATCACCTTTGAATGGAGTCTGTCTATCATGAGAGAAGTAAATCAATAAATGATTAACAAATCAATTATTTAGTGACAGAAATTTACAACTGTCTACTTTAGGATTACCGAATTTCCCAGCAAGCTTTTCTTTTGCCGAGATGCCTGCCGAGCATTTGGCAGTGAAAATTTCGACAATTGGTATGCCGAAATTCGGCGAAAAACTTTTAATATGTACGATTTCCAATCAGCGAAACCCTATCACGAACTAGCATACTATTCCGAAGGATTTTCTTGCTGAGCTGGGTCTCGACATGTGCTCAAGGAATGTATTGTATAACGAGATTAAAGACAAGTGTTTTAAATGCTAGATGGAGGGGAACCAGAGGAATTTCTGCCTTTAGCGTAAAGTTCGGAAGCAGTTAGAAAAGTAACTTCTAAGGATGAGAACATTGCCATCCCAAGCACCTCTCCTCGTAACATAGAGTAAATCGAGGTAATAAACGAATCATGATCAATTAAGCAACTCGGTTTTCCTTATTGATGGTTACCCGAGCAAAGCTGAAGATCAAATTGAAATCAAAATTTGCTGTTATGATGTAACTTATATTGAATACTCCAGTTGATCTCATTTTGGTTGACTTAACGGTTAACACAGCAAAAATGAGAGCAAAATTTTACACTGTTGAAGCAAACGGAAAACTAATCCTGCTTTCAATGAAATCAATTTGATTACTGATTTTGCATTCATAATGTTTAACTGAATACGGGCCTAGAGTAAATGGTTACCATTCATGTTTCTCAAGCTGAAAGACTTAGGCTCCAATCTCACCGCGGGCAAGTCACGAATGACCTAAAATGTGTTAAACAAATCAGATAAACGATAATCATTAGTTCAACGACAGATGAATTTCAATTAAATTTTAAACAAGACGTAAACAGCAGAACTTCAAGTTAAGTTGCTTTCATTTAAAACGTCTTGACTGCATAATAAAAACACAATATGATATCAGACTTAT